CGAGCGTATAATTGATGAATGACAGCAGAGAAAATCCATCAACTGACCTTATTAGTCAACAATTACACCGAGCTATACTAGTAGGTATGTCAATCTATTATGTGATGCTATGTTAACCTTTACATAAAGGTTGGCAAAGAATAATCTTCTGAACCCTGGTGCGCCTACACAAACACAATTAGACCACTTAAACAAAAGACCTCTGGTGCAGTTCATTTCAGCTCAAGTGAATGTGAATGCTTTAAAACTCTCATTAAAACGGCAGCAATTATTTCACGGTAAAGATCGCTGGAACCGCCATCTCTCTGCTAGGGCGCGCAAAACAATGCTTTTTAGAAATGAACTTTTTGAAGCTTTTTATAACATCGTGACTGGTAAAACTGGCTAAATATATAATTTGCAAAGTTGAAAACGTGAATCGTCATGAAATATGTCACAAACACATATGAAGTTGTGACTTTGTGCATCAGTTTTTTTTTTTTTTTATTGGTCTGATGACAAAAAAAAAATGCTGTGTAAATGCTGAGTGATCAGCATTATCCAGGAATTCATTTTTTAATGATGAAGTGGGAAGCGACACTTAGTATTCATAAGCATAGTAAATCTATTTGTTGTCTCTTCCATGTTTGTGTCAGACTTGTCATGGCTTTCAATACAAAAACGACTGAGTCGGAGGATAATTCTTCCCTGCAAACAGCACCTGCCACATTACTCATCGTCGTTTCGTGCGCTGTTAAAATAAAAATGTCATTTTAATTTGCTTCAGAGTTAATTCATTCTTGTCACAAAGCCACAAACGAACCTGCTAGAACTTGACATGGTTTGTCATGCTGAGCCCTGCTCCATTTTAGAACTACAGTATGAAACATACTATATGGACAAATATATTGGGACACCTGAATATGCATGCAGGAAGTGAACAATTGAATTAAATTAGGTATGACAAAGGCTTCCACATTTCCATGGTGATTTTGGACAACATATTTAACAATGTCTGTGGGAATTGTTGTCCACTCACCAGATAGACATTTGACTACCGATGGTGTGGCTCACAACCGCTGTTCTAGTTCGAGGCACTTGAACAGAAGATCTACCTCACCAAATTCAAATTTCAATTTCATTGATTAAGAGGTGACTTTATAGTAATCTTCTCTCATGTTCACACTGCACAACACGTATATTCCTCCAGAGGCTCTAAAACTATATTTTGGGGATTTATTACCTCCCACTGATGAACGTAATTCTTTTCCTACCTTGTTGCCGCCATCTCTGACAGAAACGCTGTCTGTGGAGCCTTCGTTCCAGTCAGGTAGCGCCTGATTTCCCTCATTATTCTGGCTCCTGAACTAGGCAGGCCTATTAAATAGGTTTTAATCAAGACCACGGTTCATTACATCAAGGAGACTTTAAGCTGTCGCGATAAAAATAGCTTGCGAGACCTCAGTCCACGCGCTTTCGGTTGACCAGCTGAGCTGTAGCAGAATTCTTGATGGAAATGCCTGCATATGACAGTCGGTGAAGGGGTAAGGTAAGAAAGGTGAGAAAGCTTAATGCCAACGCGAGACTATGCAAATGTAGCCCAATTTTGAACCGACAGAGGCAGACAAATGGAGTGTCTCGTAGCCGAACTTGAGTTGTCTTGACGCATCGTAACCTGTTAAATGTGAAATCCACTAAGTGAGAAGGAGCCTCACCATTTCGGGCTCTGGAAGTTAAACATCTTGGCCTGGTTCACATTCAGTTTCACTGCAAAAGCCTATCAACATCTTTCTGACAATCTTCGTGTCATTTACATTTTCCCCCATTTAAAATCCAAATAGCAATGACAACAGTCTTGAGACTTTCATCTACTTCTGATGAGTGATAAACTCCATGCAGACCTTTTCTGCGGGGACTTACATTATGGCAATCAAATTATGTAATCACCCACTGCTTTACAGAGCAAACAACCAAAGGCCTGGTAGTATCTCTTCCATTAATCCAAGATCTATTTTGTGCCCATAATAGAAGCACTCCCATAATTAAATTTCTGATAAATATAAATAATGGGGGTGGGGGTAGGGGGCATAACTAAAATTACAACGCAAACGGTAAAGCCAGGATTTCATGATTGTGAGACCTGGAATGATGACACAGTCCAGTACTTCCTAGACGAGAAAATTACTGCAGATAGCCTACTTTTTTTTTCTGTTGTTTTGTGTGTGTGTGTGTGTGTGTGTGTGTGTGTGTGTGTGTGTGTGTGTGTGTGTGTGTGTGTGTGTGTGTGTAACAGTTTATGCCTTGTCTGGGATACATTTACCCCAGAGTAAAAATGAGAGAAACGGAAGACTGCAGTCTGGAATTGTTTTCCGATCAGACTCTGTTCCGAGTTCTATTGTTTGCCTGCCAAGTTGTCACGAATCACACAAGAATTTTGCATCGTTCGTGAAACCCGACTCACGCCAAGACATTCGATCCACCTGATATTGTCTCATCATTTGCGGAGTAACAGCGGCACTGCAACCGTAATAGGGTACAGCGCAAGCATCCTGCATCCTTGTGCAGACGTTCGTAATTAGACGCACCGAAACTAAATAAAATGACTAGGTGGCTTCTTGACTGAATTCAATAAAAGACTCGGACTGACAGTAATGGCAAGAAGGGTTTCCATGTCAGGAAGTAAATCTGATAGCCTTTGTTAAGAGTAAATGACTTATGCTGCATAGCTCTCTGAAGTACAGTACAAGTACCTCATTGAGAATGCCACACAGGTCTCACTGAGCAATGACGAAAGGCAAAACCTCACTCAGTACAATACATCCAAGTGATGTATTTAGGTAGTCCTGACTTGATGGTGTTGGAAAGGTTTTACTTCAACAGTCTGTTTATTATGGTGTTTGCCATATGCTGTTGCAGACTATGTCGAGCTTCGTCTAGTGTGTTGTTCCTATCCATTACAGCCCCCATAATATGCCTATTATTGACTGAATACCTCTCTGACAGTGTCAGAGACAATCATCAGAACAGTAGAATTCTTTACAGACACATTTCCTAAAATGATTTTGGCCAGGTTTGTCAACAGTGGCCAATGATTCCAGAATGAAAGAAAGAAATGTACATTTCAAGGCATTATTTTGTCTTGTTGCACCAGGTACAGGTCGTACAATGTCTACATAGCCTCTTTTGCAGAGAGACCACGCCACCATTGTTTATATATTATATATATATATATACTCTGTATATGTGTGTGTGTGTGTGTGTGTGTGTATATGGCCGCTCTCCTTTTATCTGTGGGCTTTATTACATGTGGAGATCAATTAGTGCACCAACAGAGATTATAAATATCAAATGTAGTATGGACGGTGATATGTTGAGTTGCGACTCTTGGCTGTGTGTGTGTGTGTGTGTGTGTGTGTGTGTGTGTGTGTGTGTGTGTGTGTGTGTGTGTGTGTGTGTGTGTGTGTGTGTCCCAGCCCAGCAGGATATTGCCTCAACTTTTACAGAGACACAGCATCCTCCAATCAGATAATTTGATGCGTAGCCATGTCAGTATCAGCTGTAATGTGTAAAACACTTCCTAGAGAATTCTAACAGGGCGAAAGAAGTGAGTGTCCATCAATAGGTGTTGTCTCTCTGGTTCTCATATCACTCCCATTGGTGATTTCGCGAAGGGGTTAACTTTGTCCCCCAAATCTGTGTCTGAGCTGTTTACATAGAACATATAGGGGAACTGGCAAGGCTTTGAGCAAGTACTGACTGCAGAGATGACAACTTTTCCTTGATCAATTGTGAGCAGGCTTAATCGACAATCATTTGCCGCACAGTGACCATTATTCTTAATTAGTATGCCCATCCCTAATTTGTACACACAAGTTAGTCCAAGAGAACGATGTTGTCAGCATCAAATTGAATACCTCAGCTGTGTTTTCCAACATCTCGTCAAATTGAGCAGCTGCTTTACATTCGAAATATTTCCAATATGCATTTGACCTTAATGGCATGGGACGGGAAACAGAAAATTTCAGAGCACTGGCATGTCACGAATTGAAACATCATATTGAAATGCGCAACATTTGATAACAACCGATAATTCACAAAGCAGGCTTTTCATTTGGGCTGTGACAAATAACACTGCAAAATCAGACAAGAGCTGCCAACTGCCTTTTCATGCATTTTCAATGAACACCGCATGCTTGAGTAATACATCATGAAATATTCAAGTTTGGTTTTTAATGCTCCTGAATACTGACTCTGGAGTTTTTCATTACGTAATAAGAGCGCAAAGTATCTTTTTTCACTTTGCAAACTTGCATCCAAAAATAAAGAACATAGCACCAGAAGCTGGATTGTAAACTTAAAAGAATATATCGATAACTTGGAAAAAAAAGGTCACATTACTACATTTTTCCCGCCTTGAGCAGAGTAATGTGGATGGCCTAAGTTTACATATTCACTCCACACTGGTGATGTAACAAATGATTCTGCTGTCTGCAAATTGATGTCCGATTGGGTGACGTCACACGAGGAGTGTGCACGTTGGAAAAATCGCGAAGTCCCTGTTGTCGAGCTGTTTACATGTGACATGCACCTGCAAGATCCTTTTGCCCCTTGTTTAGTGTCTATGTGCGCGTGGGTGTGCGTGTGTGCGCGCGAGCGCGTGTATGCGTCAGCTTCCTCTAGTTCGCCGTAAGGTGAGCTCCAGTATGGATCCACAGCATAAACATGTAAAAGGGCTCATCAGTTTACGACGGTCCCGTCATACGCCGCTTCGAATTGCGAACGGGTGTGTTTATTGACCTAAGTGCTTTCACAGAAAACATTTACTGGAATCGTGACGTTAGAGACAGACAACGTAGCATTCCGACTTACATACGCGTTCGAAACTTCGTCGTAAACCAAGGATCACCTTTATACATGACCAGATGACTTATGTTTTGCAACAACACATCAGATTCCAAAATGAATATGAAGCAAACCATGCTAATAAAAATAATAACACCAGTGATAAAAGCGGCTCTTACCTGTAAATGCCCCTGGTACATATTGAGGCGTCACGAATGTCTCCGTCAGTGACTTGTTCCAGACTTCTCGGGGCTCAAAGTCAAAGTAGAAGTGGTGACATTGAATGGCTGTAGTCAAGTTAAAGGACGAGGAGGATATCGAGGCAGCAAACAACCGCTCAGGTGCTCAATGTGACACTTAAAGAAGCAGCAGCTCGCCGCCCGGCCATTTGAAACTCGCCGGGTCGACCCTCCCTCTCTCGCACCGGGCGCTCACTCCTCAGCCTGAACGGGACTAAAACAAGTCTCGATCATCCCGCTGGCTGCTCTCTCTTTCTCCCTCCCTCTCTCTCTCGCTCTCTCACATCTTCTTCGTCATCATCGTGTCTGGACTATGTGAGCGCTCTCCGTGGTGGCTTTTCTTCTTATAGAGCGCTCATCATCCTCGTTCGGCCGCCGCGCTCCCTCCTCGGCAGCCCTGTGGTGGGTGCCTCCCTCCGTGCTGACGTACTTCACGGCGAGCGCCTCTCTCACTTCATGAGTGATGCCTCATCTTGGGTTTCTTGCAAAGTTCTATGTTCACAAATGAAATATTGCAAAATCAAAACTCAGTTTAATAGCCCCCCCCCCTCCATATTTGAAATGGCATTCTTGTCTTCCATCTGGTAAGTATGTGGTCTATGTGGGAACCTCAGTAGTGCTGATGAGAAATTCTGGGCTCCTCCATCACTTAAGTTGCCCATCCCTGCCGTAAATTGTCCATAAATGTTTATGTGCATGTGAATGGGTGTTTGTAGATATGTGCTCTGCAATTGGCTGGTGGCCAGTTAAGGGTGTAGGCCTGTAGACCAACCCCATCTCTTGCCCAAAAGCATCTGGGAAAGGCCCTCTTCCAAGACTCGCGTGAGGTTACAGCCATACATACAGAAATTTGCTGGATAGAAGTACAGTATTAGTCTGTCTTGGCCCTCAGTGTTTCTCAAACCTTTTATACCAAGTACTAAACTTGTCTTCTCCAAGTTCCACCATAATGACCAACTTTAAAATACGGTAGCATATCGGTTGCAAGTGTTCATCAAAAACAAGGCTGAGGGTGTATTCCTGAAAAGTTGATTTAACATTATTGTCAGCCATTGTAATATAATCCATCATTTGAACATTATCACTGGGCTTCAACACAGAAAAGTTAAAAAGGACTTGAGTAAAGATTCATTTAAAATTAATAACACACCCACTGTATTACGCTAATGCTGATTGACGTGTCTTCAGACCAAAAGTGGACAGAAAGGAAAACACCTTCAAATACATTATAAGGACTCCCTTATAATGTAGCATCACTTTGAAACCACTTTTGATTTGGTTATATATGGGACAAAAAATCAAAAGGAATTCATGAATTCATGATGCACTTACACACCATTTCATTCATTTAGATGGCAGGTGCAGCCTCAAAGTACAAGGCAGGAACTTGTAAAAGATCTGAGCGTAACTGGGACATTCGTCTCAGAGAACACACTGGCACCACACTACAGTGTAATGGACTGAATTTGTGCAGTGTCCATAAGGTTCCTCTGCTGAAGAAGGTGCTCGTACAGACAAGAGCTGCCAACTGCATTAAGTTTGCTAGTGAACACTGAAATGTCTCAAGGTTTATGACAAAGCAGTGTAAATGCTAAAAACCATTGTCTTTTGTGGTGTGTCACTTCGGCCAGTTTTAATTTTGTTGAAAAATGACTACACGAAGAAGATACTCACAACATTCATCGTGAGTCACCATTTCATTTATTGTGAAACTCAATTATTCTGTTTTTACCAGCTGGTGTTCCATTACGAAGCCTGTGAGTTGTTTCATTATATTACCTCCTGACGGTACATCGGCTCCACATTGTGCATAAAGTTACAAAGGTGAAGCCTTGTAAAGAAGCTCATTATCAACATGTTGACTAACACTTCTCATTTTAGCATTAGGGAAATGTAGCTTTGCGGTGTCATGTGCATGTGAATTATTTGTACATAATAACACTGAGGCCCTGCGACTGACTGGCGACCAGTTCAGGGTGTAGTCTGCCTTTGGCCCGAAATCAGCTGAGGCTCCAGCACCCTCCCGTGCCCCTGTACGGACTAAGCAGTGTCGAAAATGACAATAACACGCAGGCTCCGTTCAATTACCTGGGACACTTGAAGCGGCACAAGAGACATGATTCATGATAATTATGAAAAATGTCAGATGATTAGGCATGACACTCGCAAAGAAGTGTAATGGCAATATGCTTGATGAATTCACGATGCACTTATACACCATTCCATTCATTGAGATGGCAGGTGGCAGTGCCCATTAATGAAATAGATTTTTTCGAGACAAATCTGTGAGCATAGGAGAACACATCGTACAGAGTAAAAATGATAAATGAAGGAAAGGGTCCAAAATAGACATTTGGCAAGGTGATTAATAAGCAGACATAGACCACATGCCTAGTTGACAAAGCGTTGGATTAAAAATTAAGATTTTAATTTTATCCCATGTCTCATCTCCTGGCCAAAATAGGATACAATGTTTCAAATATACTGCGACACGGCCTTCTCAGAACGAATATGCCTAGAAAATTCATATGGCGGTATGTTATTGGCTACTTGTCACTGAGTCTTTGAGTCATCAAAACATCAGAGTTTGATCGCTCAAATTCAGCCCAAATATCGGTGTGTGTGCAGCCCACTTGAGGAACTCACCAACTGATGTCCCCAATGTTGGTTGCATTTTAGCGTGAATGATTCGATCATTTCATAATCCATCCATTCATTTTCCGATCTGCTCATCCTCACAAGGGTCACGGGGGGGGGGGGGGGTGCTGGAACCTATCCAGCCGTCTTCGGGCAGCAGGCAGGGGACACCCTGAACCGGTTGCCGGCCAATCGCAGGGCACACACAGACGAACAACCATCCACGCTCATTTCATAATGTACTGCATATTTGAGGGATAGCCATGACTTCACTCACTTTACCCATGAGACAGTGCTGAACACACAGCTGAAAGTATATCTGTCTGACAGCTGACTGGGCAAAAAGTTGCCAGATAGTTTGAATGATTTAGCACCAGGAGGCCCTTTCAATGGAGTATCAGTGTCTGCGGGCATCTGACTCCTGATCAGAGTTTGATTAAAGCGTCTTGGTTAACAGTGATATATTGAACAGCATGGAATGTTCTCAGCAGGTATGTTTTTTTTTTCCTCCCCGCAAGACTGAACATCATGAGCTTGTGCACTAAAACCACCCAAGTACCATAATTGAACCTCTATTATGTTGCTTTTCGAAAGCGGGTCAAAGCGGAAATCTTCCAATTTTGGAGGAGATTGATCTGAGACTAAACTAAGAGAGTGATTCATCAAAACGACATGCAGACTATCAGTCAAAGTGCTGCTCTCCGCCGCTATAATTAAAACTGTCTGAATGTGATGTCATCTAATACTGTGCATTGTCTCTGAAATCTCATCTGTGTTTTACATTTACAATAAAGTACATTGTCAGTGACTTAATAGCTGCTGTCTGACTGACTGGCTTGTCTGTTATTCAGCACAGAGAAACATACATATTCATTTCTTTCAATGGAAAGTAGTAAAGAGCTTTCCAAAACATCACACAACTTGCATTACAGTACTGCGTAGGACCTACTTAACTTGATACGGCTTTACTTGCTGTACAAAAACACTGCAACATTATACTTCACAGTCTCAGCAGTGCTGCCCACAGTCTCCTCTTGAGTAGCATTCAACTCCTTACTGTAGTAGAGTACAAACTGTAGTGGATGAGTCCGCAAGCTGCGGCTTGGGGGTCTGAGAAATAATTCTTAGTAAATTACTGCCATTTAAAGATTTGAAAATAAATAATATGTTCTTAAAAAGAAATCTAGAATTTATAGGGAGCTAATGAATGGGGTGCCAGAGTAGGAGTTACGCACTCCCTCTTATAAGTACCAGTCAAAAGGCAAGCAGCAGCATTCTGGACCAACTGGAGATGCTTATTAGGGGATTGGCTGCTGTCTCCAAAGTAAAGAGCACAACAGTAATCCAGCCGGGATGTGGCGAAGGCATGAATTACGGTTTCAAAGTGCTCTTGAATCTCAATGGGAGCAGATACAGTGAGAAGAGCAGAGGCCTCAGAATTGAGCCCTGTGGAACACCACACGACAGTGTGGCAGTTCGGAACTCAGAGCAACCAAGGCCAACACAAAAGGTTCTGTCAGCTAAATAGGACGTAACCACTCAAGGGCGCTATCGCTATCAAACCAGGTTTTGCGAATGAGCCAACAGAATAATGTGATCCACTGTATCAAATTCTGCAGCTAAATCCAATAAAGCCAGACTCACACAGTCACCAGTGTCATTTGCCAGGAGGATGTACCGGTAATTAAAAACTCATAACATGGCTGGTTCGGTGCTACGCATTGTCTTGAAACCTGACTTGAAAAGTTCCAAGAATTTCATCCAAAAAAGATTTGAACTGCATGTGCGACACTTTTTTCCAGATTTTTTTATATGGAAGGCAGCTTGGTAATGGGCCTAAAATTTGACAATACATCTTGATCAAGGCCAGGTGTCTTGAGCATGGGTTGCACCACAGCATGTTTCAATTGTTGATGAACTATACCAGAAGACAGGTTGCTGTCGATAATGGCCAAGACCGATTTACTGTACTAATACTCAGGAAAATCTCCTTAAAGAAACGCAGAGGAATAGAATCATAAGGGGAGCCAGATGGCTTCGTCTGGCAATCCACATCCTCCAAAAACATCAAGGCCACAGCTTCAAAAGAATTTAACACAGCTGAATACAGAGCATGGACATCAATAATTTTAAATAGTAGACGTGGGTTTTGACGGTTAGCCTGAATTAGGTTTGATAAATGTTCTCTTTTGGCCTCTTTAAATGTGATCTGGTAGTTATATTGGTTACCATTCAGTGACGGTGTACACGTGGGTGCGAATGGTCGTTTGTCTCTATATGTGCCCTGCGGCTGACTGGCGATCAGTTCAGGGTGTAGTCTGCCTTTTGCCCAAAGTCAGTTGGGATAGCGACCCTGTTCAGGATAATCAGTGTTGAAAATGGATGGATGGTTCTCACTAGGTTTAATTTCTAGTGGTGTTTGCTCAATATGACATGGTATGTGGATGTAAAATTATTGCCGTATTTACAAAAGATGGAACATAGAGTGTTTATGAATGCTAAACAGTATTTTATCCTTGATTTTTGGCTTGGATTTAAGGATGTCTGTTTTTGGAGGGGAGGGGTTTGTTTTGTGTGTTTGTTTGGGGTTTTTTTTTGTTTGTTTGTTTGTTTGTTTCATGTCAAAATAGTTTTTACCGGTAGTAACTGACTGAAACTATTAAACTTAAAGTACCACACTGACCCGTGCCTCTATATTGACGTGCAACATGTAACGAGTAACATGGACAAGCTTTCTGCATTTTA